GACAATTAAGACTACAGATAGTAAAGCAGGAAGAGGGAAAGTATCAGAAGGAAAAACCCAAACCAGGTTGCCATGGTCACCATAGTGCTTTGACAACGCACTAACCACAAGGCTATAGGAATGGATATGCTGTGAAATTAAACATTTCAAGTATATCCTAAAATATAAATAAAGCGTATCATTTAATATAATTTAATATTAAGTGTCTTCATACTATGTGTTCTTTTATACGTTTTCAAGACTTATATTTTGTTTGTTCAATTCCAAGATATTCTGTTTTTTTTTTAACTATTATTCCTTCTCATTTAACAGATATCTCATTAAAACCTCAATTAAAAATTCTTAAAACTGAAATAAAATCGGGGGGTTTTTGATTTATGTTGATTGTATCATATCACACAGATCACCCCCTAGTGCAGAAGAATTCAAACTATTTAGAAACAGTAAATAGTTAATCAAGCCTCAGTTACAGAAATCAATTTGATACATACTCTTGATCACTGATTTGAAACAAAAACTTCATAAAAGTTTTGAAGCTTCATAAATCAATTATTTAAAATCAGCCATTACTAGTGTGTGTGACAGAATTGAGCTACATGTACATGAGAAAGCAAAAACATTTAATTTATGGACTTTTAAGAGATATAAGAAAAAGTAAAACAAAATGAATAAATAAATAAAATGAAAGAATGGATGAATAAAATGAATAAATAAATGAATAGATAACTGAATTAATAAATAAATTAAATGAATGAATGAGTTTATTATTTGTTTATATTTTCTTCTACTTAACTCTTTTATTACTGATTATGCAAAGCACTTTGATTTGCCACTGTGTATGAAATGTGCTATATAAATAAACTTGCCTTGTCTTGAATAAATACATAAATAAAATGAACATGAATGAATAAATGAATAAAATGAATAAATGAATGAATGAATGAATGAATGAAGCAATAAATAAAATGAATAAATAAATGAATAAGATGAATGAATGAATGAATGAATGAATAAATGAATGAAGCAATAAATAAAATAAATGAATAAATGAATAAGATGAATGAATGAATGAATGAATTAATGAATGAAGCAATAAATAAAATGAATGAATAAATGAATAAGATGAATGAATGAATGAATGAATGAATGAATGAATGAATGAAGCAATAAATAAAACTAATGAATGAATAAATAAAAACACAAAATAAATACATAAACAAATAAATAAATAAAATGAATGACTGAATAAATAACATGAATAAATTAATAAGTAATTAAAAAATAAAAGAAAGAAAAGAAAAACTTAAATAAACATCAACTAGAATAACAGACTGACAACTCAATAGTCTGAGACAACGACAGTGTGGCAATATTAAAAAGTGAAATCTCCCCTGAATAAAAGACACTCACACTTCTCTGAATAAGCAATCTTCACCACAGGGTTTGGTCCGTCATCTTGAGGAACAGGTTCTAGATCAGCCCACTCTTTTCTGTCTCTAAAACAGCACAAAAAAAGGCACAACAAATGTGATTTTTAGACTCACTGATTAACTTACTGGTCAGTAACTTAAGCCAGATTTGATTGAAATCTTCACCTCTTAATTAATTATTCTCTTAATTAAAAAAGGGTTAATCACCTCTTCAGACTCTTAATTCAGACCATGTTTATCAGGACTTTTATTTCATTCAGTCTGAAATGGCATGCAAGAGTGACTTCAAAACCATCAAAAACCATTACCACTATTACAATGACATTGTTGATAGTCATTGGCTGCTAATACGATTTCACGGTTAGGAATCTGTAAAGAATACTTTTCTGAACTTACATTACTAAGGAGAAAGTCCAAATGTCCAAATTCACCTCAATATTTATCCTTTAGTTTTGCTCAGATTGTAGCATAACGTTATTCCTGTTCAGTCATGATTCAGCTCAAAAGAATCATTCAGACCAACACATTTGATTCACGAGGTAAAAACTGACATTAGAAAAGTAAAACGAAACATTAGAATTAGAAAACACCTCCAGACTGTGTGAACTTTGAGCTTCACCAAAGATTTCATTCAAATCTTTTATATTAAGCTGACTCGGTTCGTGTGAATCACTCATATAACTTGCATATCACACACAACTTGTCTTTAATTAAACATTCGCAATCTTACATCTTCTTTAAAGTTGATGTCCCACATAATAAAGAGAACTTTAAGAAGTAATCAGTTCTAAGTAGAGTGATTAGCCACAAATGCTAGGCTAGCTGCTAACCTCACCTGTAGAAGATATAACCTCCTTTAACGGGCTCCTCGTACTCCATCTCCGCGTCCTCTACTAAATCGTCATTTTCTACTCCATCCTCCTCCAGATTTTCCGCTACGGAGTTGGAAATTTCTTCAACAGAGGACATTGTGGATAAAAATGCACCTGACTAAAAAGTGTGCAGAGCTGAGAAGCTGACAGATGCAGGAAGGCGGAGACACTCCGGATGCAGTAGGTTTTCAAAATAAAAGTATGTAGTATCAAAATTAGGATTTAAAAAAAAAAAAAAATAATAATAATAATAATAATAATAATAATAATAATAATAATAATAATAATAAACCGTTGCTGTCAGAATTATTAGCCCTCCTGTTACATTTTAAATATTTTAGAATTTATTCCACAGGTTCAGTTAAATGGAGGGAATATTTTTGTGGCACATTACTAATTTCTAATAACTGATTTCTTTTATCTTTGCCATGATGACAGTACATAATATGTTATTAGATTTTTTTTTTAAATACTAGTATTCAGCTAAGGGCATTTAAAGGCTTAAATAGGAAAACTGGGCAAGTTACTGTATAACAGTGGCTTGTTCAGTAGACAATCGAAAGCAAATAATGCTTAAGAGGACTGAATTTATTGACCTTAAAATGGTTTAAGAAAAATGAATAACTGCTTTTATTCAAGCCGAAATAAAACAATTAAGATAATGAAAAAATATTATAGGAAATACTGTGAAAATTTCCTTGCTCTGTTAAACATAATTTGGGAAACATTTGTAAAAGAATAAAAATCAAAGGAGGGCTAATAATTTTGACTTCAACTGTACATATATTTTATTATTTTATTTATATATTTATAATCAATGTACATGTCAAAGAAGAAAAGGAAAAGAGTTTTCTGAATATTAGAAACTGTGCACGAAAAGACTGTCACATATTTCTCCCCATTAAGCACAGAAGTCACTAACTTGTAATTTAGTTTACATACCAAAATAAATGTCAGACACATCTCAAACATTCGGGAAAAGCGCAGCCCAAAAACACCATATAATTTAATCTGAATACCACTATCTTTGAACCTGCCAGATTTTATTCATTCATCAGCAAAGATGTTCAAATCCTTTAAAATTGCTTTCTCTTGTAAATTGATTTAAAACTTTTTGTATTACATAAAAAAAGTCTTTTCTAATTAAAAAAAAATTATTTCTAAAAAATTATATCTCCAATTTCTGTTTAACGGATTGAAGATTTTTTTCAGCACATTTCTAATCATAATAGTTTTAATAACTCATTACTAATAACTGATTTATTTTATCTTTGCCATGATGACAGTAAATAATATTTGACTAGATATTTTTCAAGACACTTCTATACAGCTTAAAGTGACATTTAAAGGCTTAACTAGGTTAATTAGGTTGACTAGGCAGGTTAGGGTAATTAGGCAAGTTATTGTATAACGATGGTTTGTTTTGTAGACTATCAAAAAAAAAATAGCTTAAAGGGGCTAATAATTTTGACCTGAAAATGGTGTTTAAAAAATTAAAAACTGCTTTTATTCTAGCCAAAATAAAACAAATAATACTTTCTCTAGGAGAAATAAATAAAATATTTAAATTAGGAAAAATATTTAAATTAGAAATATTTGAAAAAGAAAAATATTGAAGGGTGCTTATAATTCTGACTTCAACTGTGTGTGTGTGTGTGTGTGTGTATGTGTGTATATATATATATATATATATATATATGTGTGTGTGTGTGTCTGTGTGTGTGTGTGTAAACACACAAACACCAATTAGATGTTTGCAACATAACATTTCAAATACTGTACTTTTTAATGTTAAAATGAATAAACAATTTACAAATAATAAAACAAATAATTTAATAAATTATAATATGAATAAATTAAGAATAGTTTTTTTTATATATACACTTTCTGAAAAAAAGTTGTTGCCTATCCAAGTTTTAGGAACAACAAATAATAAATTGTCTTCTAGTTGATCATTTGGTATCAGAAGTGGCTTATATGAAAGGCAAAGGCCTCTAGAATACACTTATTTTACCGAAATAAGATATGATCATGCCTTGATTTTTAATGATTTAATTAGGACAGTAAGGTCTGATTTTGCTTCGATAAAAGTCTTGTCACCGAACAGAAATAATGTCCAGTATAGAGTATAAAGTCATACTGCAGTGGAGACAGTATGAATATTGTGTCTGACTCCATCATGAGTTTGGAGGACTGCATCCATACATCTCTGCAATGACTCAAATCACTGATTAATAAAGTCATCTGGAACAGCAAAGAAAGCGTTATGCAGGACTCCCAGAGTTCATCAAGACTCTTTGGATTCGTCAATGCCTCCTCCATCTTACCCCAGACATGCTCAATTTTCATGTCATATGTTGCAATTTTAAAATACAGAATATGGTTACCTAAATTTAGTATACGTACATACTGTACTAGTATACTCCCAGCCACAACCCAGTACTGGGAAACATCACTTTTACATTTATACACTACAGCCAATTTAGCGCAACCAATTCACCCATACCACATGTGTTTGGACTGGAGGTGAGACCGGATGACCCAGAGCAAACCCACACCAACACAGGGAGAACATACAAATTCCACAGCAATGCCAACTGGCCCAGCCGGGACTCCAATCAGCAACCTTCTTGCTAAGAGGCACCAGTGCCATTTTAAAACAAATATATAAAAGAATCACTGAAGCCATTTCAGTTGCTTACGTTTTTTTTTTTTATTATTCAGAATAACTGATACATGGAATTTCTGTTAGTAAAAACTATCAAAACAGTAAGACATACAAAATAGATTTCCATACAAAGACATGAGACATCAAGCAAATCATTGAGCACCAGTTAAGGCTGTTTTAGCAGTAAGTGTCGTTGTTGGAGAATGTTGTACCGACGTTGTCTAGTGTTGATTTACTGTTTGCCGTTGCCGTTGATGGGCAGTTTCTTGAAGTTCTCGCACTCCAGCAGAGCTTTGACTTTGGGACGGGCAGAGATCTTGTCCACGAAGCTCTTGAGAGACGGGAAAGAGTCCAGACAGGAGGGAGAAAGCACCTTCAGATTCAGCAGGAGATCGAACAGGTTGTAGTCTGCAAATGAGATCTGGAGAGAAGGGAAATAAAGCGTTAGTGATGGTAAAACTTTAGCATCCACTTAATAATGCTGCTGTTGTTCCAACTAGACATCTCACCTGATCACCAACCAGGAATCCGGTTTTGTTTTTGGCCAGAACATTTTCAAAGCATTTGAGGTGGTTGGGCAGATCTTTGATGAACGCTTCTTTACCGGTCTCCTACAGACACAATAAGAAGAGCTCATACATACAGCTATGTTTATCATGTATTTGCTCTAAAATAGTTTAGTTTTTTCCACCCAAGGTCTGTGAGATCTACAAAAATCACATCATTGCTTACATATTCCTGGTAGATCAGCTTTATGTACTTCAGGCGAAGATCTTCAACGCCGTCGTTCATCACGTCAATGAGGGAAGCCTCACTGTCGTTTTTGCCATATGCAGCTGAATGCAAAACAACAACAAAAAATGTATATTGGGTTTAATTTTTAGAGTGCCAAACTGTAGTATGCTAAACTTATGAACACGGAGCAATTCCAGCGTTATGGATGTGACATTTGCAGTAAAAACTAAACAAATTCATCGAGAAAGTGTATGTTGAAAACATCTGCTTATATTTTCCCAAAACTACAAACCACAGTTTACGTAGTTTGCCCGCCATTTGGATTTATAGAGAACCCAGCTGTTTTAGGTGAAGTAGTAAAGTCTTAGATAGATGTAGCATCTCATATTTTCGATTAAAGCGCCTTAAATTTATAAGTTATTACGTTTTTTTGCAGAGCTCACCCAACTTTTACCTTACTCCATCGCCTGCTCAGTCCAAACCACAGTTATGAGGTCAGAAAAAATAATCTGTAAACCTTTTTTATATTTTCAATGAAGAAAATAAACATGCGTTATGGATGGGACCATAAAGTTAGTGAGTTTACAAAAAACGTTGTAGAAATTCCGTGAATTAAACTGCACAACCCAAAAGAAACAATAATCAGAAGAGTAAGAGTGGACTCTCTATGGAACAAAAAACAAATGTTAATTTATTTTTACATTTATAAGGGAAAAGCTTGGTTATGGATGAGACATCTCTTCGTTATGGATTTGACTGATGTAAAATTGGCACTTCTATGACTTTGGTAAATTCAAATATTCATTAATGGTTTAAAAACATTGACTAGGAGAGTTGATCATTTTAATAATACAAGCCTACAAAAAAAAAAAAAGAAAAAAAAAAAAACCTTATGAAGGGTTTTACGTTTTTACAATTTTTTTATGGCAAGGTTGACATTTGCATAGATTTGCTCATTATAATACATATTCAGCTGGTAGCAACGAATTATCCCAAATAGGGATTTACAAAAACTAAAATTAAAATTGGAGTAATGTACACAAAGCAGTATGCTCTGACTGTATACGCTGCAAATGTTTTTCTATTATAATCCACTCCACTCTGATTTGAAGTTGCATTAAAACAGCTATTTTACCATGTTTTCGACCCAGATGTCTCAGCATGGCGTTGGACTGAAACAGCACCAGGTCACCATCTTCAAATTTAGGCAACTGCCCAAAGACCTGAAACAAATAAATGAATAAGTTATCAATATGATGATTATTTCCCCATATTATATTATATTATATTATTCATTTTCTTTTCGGCTTAGTCCCTTTATTAATCTGAGGTCGCCACAGCGGAATGAACCGCCAACTTATCCAGCATTTGTTTTACGCAGTGCATGCCCTTCCAGCCACAATCAATCTCTGGAAAACATCCATTCACACTCATACACTACAGACAATTTATCCTACATAAATTCACCTGTACCGCATGTCTTTGGACTGTGGGGGAAAAGGGAGCACTTGGAGGAAACCCACATGAATGCAGGGAGAACATGCAAACTCCACACAGAAACGCCAACTGACTCAGCCAAGGCTCGAACCAGTGACCTTCTTGCTGTGAGGCGACAGAACTACCTACTGCGTCGCCTAAATTATATCATATTATATTATATAAAGAGTTAAAATGCAAAAACCTCCAAGTGCCATGTGGAACTTTCTTCCACAAGGAGCGTTTTTTCTTGGTCCCTTATGTTAATGTTCTGTTAGTTCATGGTAAAAGACATGGAAATAACCTATTCTTCGCTATAAGTTAAATTACTGAACCTAGATATAGGAGCCTGAGAAAAATAGCTAATATTAAAAAAAAGGTAATATTAGATGGCACTTCAAGGTTTTTGCATTTGGGATGGATGGATGGATAGATAGATATCTCCAATATTAATTCTAGGAAAGCGTGACTCTGCACATTTGATCATTAAGTCACATTATTTTGATTTCCTCTATTAGGACTGCATTATTTGTGATGCATGTATCTGCTGAAGATAATGTCAGTGACTAGGAGGATTAGAAATACGTGCAAATAACTTTTTTGTAACAAGAGTGATGGTCTACTTAAAGGGCACCCATTATGCAAAAATCACTTTAAGATGTTTAAACACAGATAACAAGCTGTAAATATAACCAGCTTCTAATTATAACATTGATTTATTTTATTCTTTATAAGTCGCACTTGATTAAAAACTGTCTGCAGAAACACTGGCTGCATCCGAAACCGCATACTTCCATACTATATGGTACGCTAAAATCTGTATGCGAGCAGAGTAGTATGTCCGAATTCATAGAATTCGAAAATCAGTATGCGAGAAGTACCCGGACGACTTACTTCTTCCGGCGAGATTCTAGAGTGCCCATCCCATGCATGCTGCGCTATCCCATAATGCCACGCGAGCAAATTCATTAACGAAAGTAAATCGACGCAATTGACGCAGGTACGTCACGTGACCATGACAAAATGGCAGATGTAGTACGTCCGAATTCCATTCATACTTTCACATTCATACTGTATAGAACGTACTTTTCTAACGGCCGAGTAGTACGTTTAAATTCAAATGCAGTACCTACTGAGTAGTAGGTGGTTTCGGACGCAGCCACTGTGATTGACATTTTCCCTTTTGCATGTCATCAGAGGGGGAAAGCCCCGCCCACTAGTGGCCATCTCACCCTCATTAGCATAGGAGGTTAGTCTTCTCTTTGAATCAGCCACTATGCTGACAAATGCATTTGTAGCCCCGCCCTCTTTTAAAAAGAACATAATCTGATTTGAATTTAAAGCGACAGTCGCCAAAATGACAAAATCAGATCCTAAAAGGGGCGGTTTCAAACATTATTTGTGTGGTATTTTGAGCTGAAACTTCACATACCCACTCTAGGGACTTATTTTAAATTTGGTTAAAAAAAAAGGGGCATGATAATTCTCCTTTAAACCATGCATGTGGATGAGAAGGGGAAAAACTCATGTTCATGTGGACTAAGAATTAGTATTGAATCATGCATTAATTATACTTTAACTAAAAACAAACGTCTATGCAGAAACTCACACAGGTGGCTTTCAAGTCGCCCTTCATCCACTCTTCAAAGGTCACCAGGTTCTCCTTCAGCTGCTGGTCTTTGTCCGCCAGCATGATCTTCAAAGCACCACATCTGCCTGCAGGGAGCACATGATTCCAGGTCAGGAGGTTGTTACTATAGCAACAGACGTCTACAATAGTCACATGCAAGCTACATAGCATGACTTCAGATAACACAATTATACTGCAAACACAGGCTAATCTTCAAGCTAAGCAAATACATATAATAGTTTATGAGGAGCCGTGCTGTCATTTTACAATTTATAAACCCTATGTGTGTGGGCTGAAGTTCAATGGCAAAGTCCCTCCTTAAACTGGGGCAAATGCCTTCAGACAAATGTCGCAATTTGATTGGACAACAAAGACCTGGCAGGACTGGGAGAACATGCAGGCTGCCAAAGATTATCAGTGGAGCGATGAATGTTCGGCCTTTTATTCTTTGAACACTGAGTTTATTGATGCAGTTATGCATGGAAGATTGTTTTATAGTTGGAAAAGAAACTGGGTCATTATTGTCATCTAAGGTCTCCCGATTCTAGCTTCTTAGAAATTGTGAGAAATCATAAGATGTAAAGAGAGAAGCACGAGAAAAAGCCTAATAACTTCTTATAGCTGCAAAATAAAAATTTAAAAAGTTGTAATTGTGAGAAAAGGAGTAAGATTTGATTAACTCAATTGTAAATAAAGTCAGTTACAAGAAATAGTTCATTTTAAATTCAGACTTGAAATTGTAAATTGAAATAGCTAATTCAGACTTAAAATTGCTAATTCAGGCTTAAATTTTTAAATTCAGGCTTAAAATTGCTAAATTCGGGCTTTAAAATTGCTAATTCAGGCTTAAAATTGTAAATTCAAACCTTAAATGTTGCTAAATTCAAACCTTAATGTTGCTAAAATCAGGCTTAAAATAGCTATATCAGGCCTAAAATGATACATTCAGGCTTATAATTGCTAAATTTGGGCTTAAAATGCTAAATTCAGACCTAAAAATTGTTAAATTCAGACTTAAAATTGTAGATTCAGGCTTAAAATGACTAAATCTGGCTTAAAATAGTAAATACTGGCTTTGAAATAGCTAATTCAGGCTTAGAAGTGTGAATTTAAACCTTTAAATTACTAAATTCAGGCTTAAAATGGCTAATTTAGGCTTAAGATTGCTAAATCAGGCCTACAATCGTAAATTCAGGCTTAAAATTGCTAAATTCAAACCTTAACATTGCTAAATTCAGACCTAAAATAGTAAATTCTGGCTTAAAATAATAGTCTAAGTAGTGACCATTTAAACCTTAAAATGCAGATGTAAAATGGCTAAATCAGGCCTAAACGGTAAATTGAGACCTAAAAATTGTTAAATTCAGACTTAAAATTACTAATTCAGGCTTAAAATAGTAAATTCTGGCTTTGAAATAGCTAATTTAGGCTTAGAAGTGTCAATTTAAACCTTTAAATTACTAAATTCAGGCTTAAAAATTGCTAAATTCAAACATTAATATTGCTAAATTCAGACCTAAAATTGATCAGTTTAGGCTTAAAATAGCTAAATTCAGACCTACAATTTGTCAATTCAGACTTAAAATTGCTAATTTCAGAATTGAATTGTAAATTTAGGCTTCAAATTGCTAAAAATCAGGCTTCAAATTGTAAATTCAGACTTGTCATTTTTTATCATGTAATTGCAAAGTAATGCTTAATTCTGAATGCAAACTTTAGGTTTTCACAATTTAGAGTTTATATCTTTCAGTTATTCACATATAATTATCATTAAGCATTACTAAAATAAACAAGGCAACAATTTTTTTGAACACAAAAGAAGATACTTTGAATAATGTTAGAAATTGGTAACAATTCCATAACAAGAAAAACAAAAAGTATAGAAGTCAAAGGACACCACTTTCCAACCTTATTCAAAATAACATATGTTGTGCTCAACACAGGTTTATGACAACTAAATAGGAAAACTATTAATGTAATTTTCTGCTTTGACTTAACCATTCCTGTAAAGTTGAATCCAAATAAAATAAACCACCAAATATAAAAGTCCTTATGACTTGAATAGCATGACTTGCATTGCATGACCTGCACTTCTTTTGTTTGCTGTTCCATTGCATAACCCTCGACCCAACCACAAAACACTTCCCAGATTTTTCTGAAGGATCAAGCATGCATAATCATGTGACAAGAGGCAGCCTTCCATACAAACCTTTGACTGCGAAGTATGTGAGTGTGTAGGGAGCCACTGCAAAAAAAACAAAACAAGGGAAACGATTAAAGAGAGGAAGTTGCAGAACTTGAAAGTAGTCTAAACGGAAGCAATCACGATGCATACTGTAGTAGAGATTATGAAGAGAGATTTGCACAGTAGTTAACCCACATACTTTGCATATTAAAGTGCAGCTCTAGTTTTTCCTCAATGCACTTTTAGCATTACGTAACACTTGCTTCCATTCATTTCGGTCACATTTGCATCCATTTTATATGCACATGCAATGACATATTTTAAAATAAGTAAACATTTCGACAACAAATGGCAGATATTAGTTCCCCTGTAGCGATTAAATACATTTTGCACGTCGTAGTCTATTACAAAAAGTGGTTCTCCATTGATTAAACGCGTATGCTAAATTCATAAAACCTTATTGAATATGTTAGCACTGAGCGAACTCGAGCTGCTCCATTTAAACACAGCACATTACGTAATATCAGCTTAAATGAGCAGCTATGTTGACACTTCCGAGTACAAAGACGACTTTAACTTGCAGCAAGCAACACAATGTAATACTTTAAAAGCAATATATTCAATATAATATAGTTGTAAATGCTTCGTAGAGAGTCTTGAAGTACTCACTGGTGTTGTAGCGCTGAGTGAAGTGCGTTTCAAAGCTGCTCCTAGTCTGCAGTGCACTGTCGGAGCGCGCGCGTCTTCTTTTATAAGCCTCAGCGTTTTTGATGAGTCATGCACGCGCCCCGCGAGCACGCAATTGTGTTTGTCGTTGCATTCATGACCACACGCGTGCACGAGATCTCCCATTTCAATCTCCAGTTTCAAAGCTGATTTAAAGGTACATTTTGAAGACTTTTAATTCGAAAAGCAACCAGAACTATGAATATAGGCTACTCAAATAGCTAAACTCCTCTCTATATTGTAAACATATAAACCCTTCTTGGTTTTATTATTATTATTGACATTTTTTTTTTATTTTATTTGATTTAAATCCTAATATGTTTTTCATTTGTTATGATGTGGATGTAATAATTGCGAGATTTTGTTTTGGTTTTGATTGCTAAATATTCAGCATATATACCCTTCAACAACAACAACTATAATAATAATAATAATAATAATAATAATAATAATAATATATATATATATATATATATATATATATATATATATATATATATATATATATATATTTTTTTTTTTTTTTTTTTTTTTTTTAATGACCACACGCTCGCAAGATAGGTGACCAGTGCATTATTCATCGAGTGCCTGTAACTTTAATATGGATTGTGATTAATTTTCTACTTTAAACATGCATTTTTGAAGATGTCCAGAAATAATAAAAAAAAAACTTTAGTTATGCTCAAACATGTGAACTTTGTTAAATAGCCTATATATTTTTCTTTTTAATTTATATTTTTTTTTTTCACTTTTAAGGGTAACCCACATTACGCAGTATATTTTCAAAATAAAGCCGATAGAAATCTGATATAACCAATATTTGATATTAAACCGCTTTTAATCCAGTAAATTGATATAAATTAAAACTGAAACTAAATAGTTAGTAGCGGCAGGGCCTTTTTGAGAGGGGTCTGGCTGCAGACTTGGTGCAGATGCAATCTGAGCTGCATCCAATGCTTTATGGTGGGCTCACATAACCCCACCCCTAACCCTCACCGTGACGTCACTAGCTCCATTGAGTGCATCATGTCTGACATTGCATCTCTGAGCGATGCAATCTCAGCTTGCATCATAAAGGCTAGGTCCCGATACTATTGGCCTTTTTTGCACATCATTCCATAAAATGTAAAGATGAGAGAGGGTATTTTACATAGATATAAACACTAGATATTGCATCTATTGACCCTGAGCATGCGTCAATAGCGCCGCCATATTTGTACAGTGCTCCAGGAAAGTGTCATTCAACCGCACTAGTCAAGACAGAGTAACTACATTCCAGATAGCAAAATACACTCGGGTCAGTTCCGGCTAGGTTCTCGCCTGCCGGAGACTTACCCCTCGGCCTGACTCTGGCTGCCATACTCGGGCCGAATGCCTGTGGACTCACTGCCCGATTCCGGCCCAAATCAATTCTTAATAACTTTTACTATTCTAATTATTTTGTTGCTGTCATTCCATGGATATTTTCTCAAATTAACATTAAACGTTGAGCTAACAAACACTAGATAAAATAAGAATTTAATCGATTGTCATCAGTTAAACAAGCCGAGTCCTTGCCAGAAGCGGCCCGGACTCTACAGACAGACTCAAGCCAGATATGGTTAACAGCAATTGGGCCAGCTAGTGCTTTACAGCCGCATCACAAACACAAGTGCGCTAGCGAGCTGTGGGCCGTACTCGGCCCGGACAACACTCGCCGATGCCAAGTCGGAGCAGGAGGCACCAAAGGGGAGCCGTGCTCGGGCCGATTACTACCTGCTATCTGGGGTGAAGATGCTGAACTTTTGTGCTGTCTACAGGTGTAGTAAGGAGCAAACAAAGAAAACAAAGCACAAAGGCAGAACATTTCATAGGTAAGATTTAGTTTTTTTTTTTCATTTTTGTATGTTATGAACTTTTGTGCTAAACAGGTAATGTTATTGATGATAATACAGTCACTTACTGCACTGACCATGAGGCAAAGTGGCACCAACTTGCACTAGCTGGGCTTATGCTAGTTTTGTTGAATAAAATCAGCAAACAATGCAAAAGAAATATGACACCGAGATGCTGCGCTGCCAGAAAGTTGTATTATTGTATCCAGTGAACGAGTCGTTCATAACGGAGATTCATTCCCAAACAAATCTCTCCCACTGTAAGTATGGGAAGTGAAAGCAGTAGGGGGTTCAGGACACAGATTAGATCAAATTTAACAGGGAGGGTGGGTGGTACATTTCCATACACACAAACACAAGCTTATTATCAGGAATGCCTGGGCGGTCACTTATCAATCAATGTAGAAAAGTGATGTCAAATGATAAGTTTCGTAATTTAAAAAAAAAGAAATGTGCATACTGACCTCCAGGAAAACCCCCGATCATAGATATATGTGTACATGTGTAATTGTCTGGCTCTGGATTGCCACAGTCCTCCACTGCAGCTTGGTTCTGTATTCATTTCATAGGAGCGCTACCCTGTACCAAAATGGCAGCTCTGTTGACACATTCCTTCCAATAGACAACAACAGGGTAGGCGACATCTAATATATATATCGATGGTATTTCATAGCAGTTGCTATAAAAGCCCTCAGGTTGACGTCAACAAAAGGAGTGCCATTCAAAACGCGGAAGCAAATAGTCAGACTTTCAATAAAGATTACCAAAACAGACTATTTTTTCTCCAATTGATTAACTTGCACAGATTAATTAATCACCTTAAGAATAACAATATGAGCTAGCAAGATAAGCATTGTACATTTTTAAAAAGACTTCATTTAAAGGGATAGTTCACCCAAAAATGAAACCCTGTGTTGAACATAAAGGAAGATATTTCGAATAATGCTACTAGCTGGCACCTATTGACTTAACTTTTCTTTCATGTGGAAGTCATGGGTGCCAGTAACCATTCATTTTCATTCGGCCCTTATTAAGGATTCCAGTCCATCAAGAAAATACTCTTTGTTATTTGAAACCTTTGTTTTTCTTAATTACCACTGGGTTTTACACATTCGTATAAATCATTTAGTACATTCATCATTCATTCACTCATTTGTTTTCTTACTGGCTTAGTCCCTTTGTCAATCTGGGGTCGCCACAGCGGAATGAACCACCAACTTATCCAGCATATGTTTTTACGCAGTGGATGCCTTTCCAGCTGCAACCCATCACTGGGAAACATTCATATGTTCTCATTCACACACACACACACAGACACACACACACACACTACAGACAATTTAGCCTACCCAGTTCACCTATAGCCAAGGCTTAATTTGTGCCGGAACACGCCGGACCCGGAACAATGTAAAATCTATCTATCTATCTATATATATATATATATATATATATATATATATATATATATATATATATATATAGAATGTACATTGTTCCGGGTCCGGAAAAACATATATACATATATATATATATATATATATATATATATATATATATATATATATATATATATATATATATATACATACATAATACATATATACATTGTAAAAAAAATGGACATATCTTGACAGTGGAGTCCACTTTAAGGCTATTTAAAGTAAGACAAACATTAAAATAAAATGACTGGATTTTGTTCTTAACAATATACAACATATGTAAGAAGCATTGCAACTGTTTTGGATGGTTCAATATTTTATTCATTATAATTGATAACATTATGTTAGTAAATGGATGATCATTCTGTACGTAAAAATGATCAAAATAGTTAAACATACAAAACAGATATTCATACAAAGACATCATAGAGCACCAGTTAAGGCCTTTTAACAGTAAGAGACATTTGAGAACGTTGTATCAACGTTCTGTTAATTCACTGTTTGCCGTTGCCGTTGATGGGCAGTTTCTTAAAGTTCTCGCACTCCAGCAGAGCTTTGACTTTGGGACGGGCAGAGATCTTGTCCACAAAGCTCTTGAGAGACGGGAAAGAGTCCAGACAGGAGGGAGAAAGCACCTTCAGATTCAGCAGGAGATCGAACAGGTTGTAGTCTGCAAGTGAGATCTGGAGAGAAGGGAAATAAAGTGTTAGTGATGGTCAGATTTTAGCATACACTAAATAATGCTGCTGTTCCTACTGGACATCTCACCTGATCACCAACCAGGAATCCTGTTTTGCTTTTGGCCAGAATATTTTCAAATGGTTTGAACTCGTTGGGCAGATCTTTGATGAACGCTTCTTTACCGGTCTCCTACAGACACAATAAGAAGAGCTCATACATACAGCTAACAAAACCTTGATATTAATCATGCGTTTGCCCTGAAATGTTTTTTTTTTTTTGGTGTTTGATCCTCATAGCTTTGTTTTATTGCTTACATATTCCTGGTAGATCAGCTTTATGTATTTCTGGCGAAGATCTTGAGCTGCATCATTCATCATGTCAATGAGAGAAGCCTCACAGTCGTTCTTTCCATACGCACCTAAATGTGTAAAATGACAAATAACGTCTATACTGTATATTGTATACACTCAATGCACTACTACAAATATGTAATTATATATATATATGAGCAATATCACACTCGTAGCAGTGCGATATTGCTGTATATATCGGCACTGGTGCAGCCTCGTGCCTCAGTGCCCCCACCAGTGCCGATATACAGCCATATGGCACTGCTACGAGTGTGATATTGCATTTAAACAACAGTTTGACGGCATAATTGTGTATATAAAAACAAAATCAAACATGGAGAGTCTCAAAAACCCTTTTGTATGAGGAACTACTTTCTTCCGCCTTGGATTCAAATCATAAGCTGACAGTTAAACAGTTGAGCAAGCATCTTTTAAACTTTAGGTCTGTAGTGTCTGCTTTTTGCTGGTTGTATGTGGGCGGAGTAATACACAAAGGGTAAAGAGGCTGTACAGGTGCTGATATTACCTGAATATATCACGGCTATCAGTCAATCAGATTCAAGAACCAGACAGAACTGTTGTATATATATATATATACATACACAAACTTTTTTAGATGTAAATAATGATCATTAATATTTGCCCAGCAGTGAATCTACTGCATTGACTAGTAATCGTTACCATGTTTTCGTCCCAAATGTCTGAGTATGGCATTGGACTGATACAGCACCAGGTCACCGTCTTCAAATTTAGGCAGCTGTCCAAAGAGCTGAAAGAAATCCAGTAACATGTTTTTATCTATCGATATGCAGAACAAATATGTAGCTATACAATAAAGCATGCACAGATCATTGCAATCTCAATTCCAATCAGTTCTGATGCAAAAGTCCAATTCTGATTCGAATAATTAAAAAATAATTTTAATAATAAAATTGTTTTGCTTCTTTTGATTTTTTTTGAGCATGATAGAATATTTGCCATGAATCCAAACATGAATCTCAACAATATTCTTAGCAAATGCACCCACGCAACCTCTCTGCCAAAAAAAGCCTTTCTGTGTTGTTTTAATAGACAAATAGTTGCAATATCACCGCAATTAATATCATATAATCACAATTATGTTTGAGCAAATTAATAATTTAAATGTAACTATTATTGTGCTGTCCTTATTAATTGTATATACACACTGTTAGACCTTGCTGCAATTTTACAGTTATTTACTGCAAGAGCGCTCAGTAAATACCACATACATTCTTTACAGTTCACTACTGTAATATGCAGTGCATTTTGGGTCATTTTAAAACTTTTATAGCAACTTACTGCATATTAGGCATTTGTGGTATTTTACTGTTATCAAAGCAGAAGTACTGCTGCTGTAGTTAAGGACAAAAACAAGACAGTTGATGAATAAATTAGTTGCTTACAAAATAATAAAAATAAAAGTTTTCTACTGCAAATGTAAAATGTAAATAAATTACAGTAAAATACTGTAAAATGTGAAAAAGGGTATGCTAAAAAGAAGTTGCAGTAAGGCTATTTTACTGTAAAATGAAACTGCGGTAGGGCCCTGCAACTGTAAAACACATTTACAGGTAATTTACTGTAAAGATGGCATATTCGCTCAGTGTGAACACCGTTAGACTTTACTGCAATTTTACAGGTATTTACTGTAAAAAAACACCCAGTAACATACTACATACATTCTTTACAGTTTACTACTGTAATATGCACTGCATTGTGGGTCATTTTAAGTTTTTGACAGTAACTTACTGCATATTAGGAATTTGCGGTATTTTACTGCGATCAAAGAAATCAAATACCGCTACACTAGTTGTAGGAAAAAAATGAGACGGTTAATAACAAATAGTCACCTAAATTCAATAGTTAATACTAAAAGGTTTTGTACCGCCAGTGTAAAATGCAAATAAATTACAGTAATACTACTGTATAAACTTTCATTTTCTAAAATAAAAATTGGGTTAAGGGCATTTTTCTGTATGGGTAATTTACCTACAAAAAAGGTGGTAGTGGGCTTGCTACTATAATACATATTTACGGGTAAAGGGGCAGTTGCCCCTATTTAAAATGACTCACAGTGCAAATTACAGTAGTGAACTGTAAATAATGAATGTGGTATTTTACTGGGCATTTTTGCAGTAAATAACTGTAAAATTGCTGTAAAGTCAAACAGTGTGTATATACACTTAATAAGGACATTTTATTGTATTTGTGCAGTAACTTACTAGCAGTACTGTTGCCAGCAATTTACCGCAAAAATACAATTAATGTTATACTTTATTTTCTTCTTTATTCACAATGAATGCAAACAGAGCATACAAAAATCTCACGCACAAACAAATTTTACCTATATTTAAAAATGTTAACTATTTTACGTCTTGTCAGCTTTGTGGCTAATTCATACGACTTCAGACATATAAAAAACGGCAATATTTAAAAGGAGGCGTGGCACCAAACCCCACCCCTAAACACAACTGTCATTCGAAGATGAGCAATTTGAATGTACTAAAATGTACCAATGGGATCATACAATTAAGCCACTTAATCAAAATGTTATGAATTGGCGTGAGATAGCGTTGGAAACTTACACATGTGGCTCTTATGTCACCCTTCATCCAGTCCTGTACGGTCACCACATTCTCCTTCAGCTGCTGCTCTTTGTCCGCCAGCAGGATCTTCAAAGGGCCAGCACGGCCTGCAGGAGCACATGATTCAGGGTCAGTTATACAGTAGCAGCAGTCTACAATACAGTTATTGTATGATTCGTTTGCCCGTAAGGACTGAACACAGTTTCAAAGTCGAAAAACAAACAGAGGTGTCGGAACAAGATCAACATTATAAATCTAGTGACGAACAGACAGCAGTGTTGTTGACTGCATGCGATTCAAAGACATGTATAACTTGCCGTTCCACACTTGTGGAATGATCTTCCCATTCCCACACGGACTGCTGATTCACTAATATCATTCAATCGACTACTAAAACTCATCTATTCCGTGATCACCTGAATCGACACATTTAGACATTACAGTAACTTACCTGTAAATGTGTTTTAGAATAGCAGGGCTACTACTAAATTTTCTTAAGATTAACTAGCCTTACAATGACTTCTTCCTATGGTAAAACAGCATTTACCACATTTAAATTTAATTTAATTTAATTTTAAGAGTGGGACATTTTCTAGTAGTTTTATTGTAATGTATTTGCATTTGAACAGTGTTCAGACTGAGCATATAAGCCCATTTACAGTAACTTACCTGTACATATGCCCTACCGCAATTTCATTTATTTACAGTAAAATATATTTTAATTGTACAGTTCGACAACTTTTACACTAGCTTTACTGTAATGTATTTGCATTTTACACTAGCAGTACTCCGTGAATGTAAGCGGCTATTTGTTTTATTATTTGTCAACATTTTTGTCCTCAACTACAGTAGCAGTACTTGATTACTTTGATTACAGTAAAAAACTGGAACTGCCTAATATGCAGTAAGTTACTGTAAACGTTTTTAAATGACCCACAATGAAGTGCACATTACAGTAGTAAACTGTAAAGAATGCATGTGGTATGTTACTGGCCGTTTTTTGCAGTAAACAACTGTAAAATTGCAGTAAAGTCTAACAGTGTTCAGACTGAGCGAATATGCCCCTTTACAGTAACTTACCTGTAAATGTGTTTTACAGCAGCAGGGTCCTACCGCATTTTTAAAGGTAAAATAGCCTTACTGTGACTTCTTATGGTAAAATGCCCTTTATCACAAATTGATTTTAGAGTATGGCCATTTCTACAGTAGTTTTACTGTAATTTATTTGCATTTTACACTAGCAGAACAAAACCTTTATTTTTTGTATTTACTATTGAATTTAAGTGACTTTTTTTCATAAACCATTTCAATTTTTTCTTTAACTACAGTAGCAGTATTTGACTACTTCGATTACAGTAAAATACAGCATTTTCGTAAAATGCAGTAAGTTACTGTTAGTTTTAAAATGACCCACAATACAGTGCACATTACAGTAGTGTGCTGTAAAGAATAAATGTGATATTTTACTGGGTGTTTTTGCAGTAAATAACAGTAAAATTGCAGTAAAGTGTAGTATGCTCATTTACAGTAACTTACCTGTAAATGTGTTTTACAGTAGCAGGGCCCTACTGCAATTTCATTTATTTACAGTAAAATATCCTTACCACACCTTCTTTTTATGCTAAAATACCCTGTAGCACTTTTTAATTGTACAGAATGACAACTGTTACTCTAGTTTTACTGTAATTTATTTGCATTATACATTAGCAGAACAAAACCTTTATTTTTTTGTATTTACTATTCAATTTACAGTAAGTGACTTTTTTTCATTAACCGTTTCAATTTTTTCTTCAACTACAGTAGCAGTATTTGACTACTTTGATTACAGTAAAATACAGCATTTTCGTAAAATGCAGTAAGTTACTGTTAGTTTTAAAATGACCCACAATACAGTGCACATTACAGTAGTGTGCTGGAAAGAATAAATGTGATATTTTACCGGGTGTTTTTGCAGTAAATAACAGTAAAATTGCAGTAAAGTCTAGTATGCTCATTTACAGTAACTTACCTGTAAATGTATTTTACAGTAGCTGGGCCCTACTGCAATTTCATTTATTTACAGTAAAATATCCTTACCACACCTTCTTTTATGCTAAAATACCCTGTAACACATTTTAATTGTACAAAATGACAACTGTTACACTAGTTTTACTGTAAATAATTTGCATTTTACACTAGCAGTACAAAACCTGTATTTTAGTAAACTTGTATTTACTATTAAATTTAAAGGATTAATTGTTTCATTAACAGTCTCATTTATGTCTTCAATTACAGTAGCAGTTCTTGATAACTTTGATTACAGTAGAATACTGCAAATGCCTACTATGCAGTAAGTTACTAAAAAAGTTTTAAAATCACCCACAATGCGGTGCATATTACAGTAGTGAACTGTAAATTATGGACGTGGTATTTCACTGGGTGTATTTGCAGTAAATAACCGTAGGATTACCATGTGGTATCTGGTCTTAGGTTAGCATCTTGAGCTAAAGTACAAAATGGTGAACATGTCAACTCAGTTAGAGCTTTAAAAAGTTGAACTATAAATGAAGTAACAATTAGTAACAGAATCAAATGTTCTCCATCACATTCAAGCATAATTTGGCAGTTTACTGTAAATTTTACAGCAACAATTTACAACAGCTTACGTTCAGAAACATCATTTTCATACAAACCTTTGATAGCGAAGTATGTGAGAGTGTAGGGAGCCACTGGAAAAATAAAGAGAAAAAATAATTAAGAAATCAAAGAATTAAGAGATGAAATGGCAGAACATATGGACATGTAAACAGAATTAGTAATATGGTAAATGTATATCAGCGACTGGAACAGTAGACTTAGCTAAAGTGTTGACTGTAAAATAGCTACACCCACAGAACATGTGGAAGCTGGAGGGTCACGTACCTATTTATCAAATATCTGTAGCATTTTAGCAACACTAAAGAACTTGATTAGCTGGTTCAGGTCTGTTTGATTAAGGTTAGAGCAAAACCAGCCCAATCTCATAAGGGAACCTTTACACACTGTTAGAAAAGTGGCTTATTCATTTGCATTCATACAACTTCATTCATATGAAAACTTAAACATGGAGCTGTGCCCCAAAGTACCACATCTAACCCATAATACTCAAACAAATATATATATATATATATATATATATATATATATATATATATATATATATATATATATATATATATATATATATATATATATATTTTTTTTTTTTTTTTTGTTCAGTTCACTTTTTCTAAACCAATCATGTTAAATGAATGCCATTGCAGCTTTTTCAACATGATTGCATTATTGTAAACTGACTTGAAAGTGTCGCTCTTTGGCTTAACTTGAAGTTTTCATTTAATAAAGTATGTTTCAATTAAGTAGCTCAGTCTAACATTTATGACTGAATACAAATTGTAGCTGAGAAAAAAAAATGAATAGAATAACAAATAACATTCATGCTTTATTTAATAAATTCTGGATATTTTTGATCATTATTGTAGAGGTGCATTGGAAAATAGGGCTGATATTCACTCATTAACTTTTTGGCTTTGTCCATTTATTAATCTAGGGTCGCCACAGCGGAATGAACCACCAACTTATCCAGCATATGTTTTACGCAGCGGATGCCGAACCCATCACTGGGAAACATCCACACTCATTCACAAACAAACACTATGGACAATTTAGCCTACCCAAGGGCTGATATTCATTATGGTATAATATCTACAATGGAAAAAATTCGTAAAATCAAATTTTTTTTTCTTTCGAATAAATTAACTTTTTAATTTGGAAATTGTAATATTAAATGTCAACGATATAATGCCCCCACACCTAACCCTAATTCTCATTGGGTGATGAGTAAATCATACTAAAATTGATGAATTAGGTTGTACAATTTCAAATGAATTAGCCACTAATTAAAAATTAACAAATTGTCGTGAGATAGCATTGAAAAAAAAACGTTTCTCAAGTCTACTCTAGACCCTCCATCTCATTTTTTTCTCAATGCATTAACACTACACAACCTACTTCCACTCATTTTAGTCACATTTATTATGATAAATGTCAAATCAAAAATAAAAATAGCTCTTTGGAAAGTGCCTCTAACTTTTAATCAAGTGCAGAAATGTTTAATCTACATAATCTACTTTTTCATGCTATGCTTTTTTCAATACTATACTAAACTATATTTTTCATAAATGTATTTTCATGCTATACTAGTGCTATTCTACATGCTACATTCTTTTTAAAAGATAGTAATGATTCATTGGCTACAAGTTATTAGGAAACAAGTATATTAGTATCTATCCAAACTATCTAATGAATAAGTAATGAATACTACTACCTAGCAAGTACTAGTACACTATAAAAGGGTAACCAGAAGTGCCTTAAAAACAAATACCTAAGAAATAATTACTAGTACTTAATGGAGAAGATAATAAATGTAGTGCATTTTTCAGATTAAACATTAATAGCACACACTACAGTTCTAGTCTAATAACCTTAAAGTGCTCACTTTTGTAAGTTGGGTAGGATAAAAGCATCTGCTAAATGCATGAATGTCCATTTAAGATGTGCACCCATTGAGTTGACTCTATTTATCTGGTATCATAATGCATTGTAATATGAGCTTGAAGTCTTTTATCATCTCCAGACACTCTGCCAAGTGCAACAGCGCCTGAAATCAAATTTTTTGCAAGCAATATATCCATACAAAATGTGCATCTAATGCATAATCAGACTCAAAGGTGAAGAAAGTCATGAATGAAGTACTTACTGGTGAAGAACTGTGTGAAAAGCGAGGTCTGTGAAGTTGCTGCTCCTGAAATGTGTAGTGCAGGTGTGTGCAATGCTCCTTTTAAAGCCTCATGTGTACTTTATTGAGTCATTCATGCACAAAGGTAGCATGCAAAGTGATTAATGAAGGCATAGTACACTGAAACAACATTCACAATGACAACTCAGTTCACCTGGGTTTGTTGTCGTACTTGTAACTTAAAAATGCTAATATGCTTAACTCTGATTATATTAGCAGACTTGTTTTGGGTACGTAAGTTACTTTGAACTTTACAAAAATATATATTTTAGAGGATAATGCCCAAAAGAAAAGGTAAATATAGCTACAATTCAATCATTTATTTTCCTTTGGCTTAGTCCCTTATTTATCAGGGGTCACCACAGCAGAATGAACCACCAACTATTCCAGCATATGTTTTACACAGCGGATGCCCTTCCAGCTGCAACCCGCTTCTAGGAAACACTCTCACATTCACACATTCTCACATACACTACGGCCAATTTAGTGTATTCAATTCACCTATAGCGCACGTCTTTGAACTTTGAGGAAAACCGCAGAAAATCCACACCAACACAGGGAGAACATGCAAACTCCACACAGAAATACCAACTGGCCCAGCCAGAATTCAAACCAGTGACCTTCTTGCTGTGAGGTGACAGTGCTAATCATTGAGCCACCGTGCCGCCAAAATTTAATCTGTAAAATAAAAAGATTGTAGTTTAAGTAGTTCGACAGCATTATTACAATATAAAAATTAGGGGCTGTTTACACAACATTTACACAAACTTTTTATGCCTTCTGGGGACTGAAAAGTGAGTTTTAAATTGTCAAGGTTGTTTCTGAGTAAACACCAAATAGAGGATGTTTTAAAAAAAGTGACATTTTGCAAGTGTTTTGTATATGTTAGGTGCAAAATGGGCTCATTCTGAAAAAGTAGACGTATATACATTTCTGGAGATCGCGAATTATGTAGCCAGAGGTATGTATGGCTGCATTTCGTCTTTAAAACGAATGCTACAGGGTGGTGTGACACCGTTTGTTTTTTTTGTGCTTACCAGCTGACCGATTACCTCTATGTGGACGGCTTTTCTGCTGTTACCAGTTTGTTCAGTGGCTTGCAGTGTACATTGGTGGACTTGAGACGCAGAAGGAAGTTGACTATGACAACCAGGTTTGAGTCTGGTGAAGAACAGCTCCACATAGCAGGTAAGACAAAACAAAAGCCAAAAAATAAAATAAACAAGTAAATAACAGTGTGAAAATGTGGTAAAACCTGAAAATGTGGTAAAAATCAGGCTGCCGCAAGGGCTTTTCTTTTTTTGGATGGCTTTTGAAAACACTATTGGTTGGGTTTAGCTAGGAGGTGGGCTTTTGGGCTTTTTTTGGTGCTTTTGAAAACACTATCGGTTGGGTTTAGCTAGAAGGTGGGCGGGTCAGTTGGTGCTTTTAAAAACACTATTGGTTGGGTTTAGCTAGGAGGTGGTCTTTTGGGCTTTTTTTGGTGCTTTTGAAAACACTATCAGTTGGGTTTAGCTAGAAAGTGGGCGGGTCAGTTGGTGCTTTTGAAAACACTATCGGTTGGCTTTAGCAAGGAGGTGGGTGGGTCAATTGGTGCTGAAAAAAAAAAATTAATTTGTTTTTTTTTTGTTCACACTTTTTTTCAGGGGACCATACCTGTCAACCCTCCCATTTTTACCGGGATTCTCCTGTATTTTACAGTTCTATCCTTCTATCATCCCGTAAAGATGTTTTCCCGGTTCATTTCTGATATGAATGCAATCGTACTAAATATTGGAAGTGAAGCGGCAACTGTACAACAAACTTTAGTTTTCGTAACGTTCATTCATGTGTGTGTGTCTGTGCATCACCTACCATGGCGACAAGCACGACTGACCCAGTGCAAACACAGTGATAATGTCTGGCTGTTTCCTCCAAAAACAACAAAAACTAAAAGATTTTGTGGCTGATAGACGCAAATGGCTCTCTGTATTTTTCTTTTGGTAACAAAACCAAAACATTCAGTAAAAGCCGTGATGTGCGGACATCTTTCTATTTTGGTGGTGATCACCTAGCAACAGCTGTACACACAACGGCAGCTTGATGACGTAATCGCACTGAGGTTCACAAGGAAAAAAGACCAGCCAAGAAGGCGGCAAAGGTGGATAATAAGGTATTTGCAAAGCTAGTGCTCTTTGCATACTGATAAACTTCCGGTGTGCTGTTAAATTGACTTTTTAAAATGTTTTACCGTTCCTTTTACAGCATTGATGTTGTAATGTAATTTAAATATAATCAGTTAAATAGACTTCGGTATTCATTTAGTTGTTCAAGCATAAAACGAGATGAAAAGCCATTTACTCGCCACGCCCATCAGGATTAGCAGGCAAGCGCTGAAACTCCATTGAAAATACTGGGGTATAATAAATAGTCATTTTAAAGACATGGTGTGGAGAAATGTAATTTAATGCAGTGCTTCTTGTACATTCTGAGACCCACTTTATATCGTATATCAATCAGGCAGTGAAGATCATTGAGTTAAAAAAAAAAAAATCAGACCTTACAGATGCCGATTTTGTTATGGCATACAGTTCCCCGGAAGCATTTGCCCCAGGTTACTGACAAATTAAAAGTCCTTCAGCATACTTCCGCATATACCCTATTAAACTTGGGTTGAGACAAGCAATCGAACCAAGTGTGAAAGCACCCTAACACTGCATAGGCACCATTGTTACATGCCATATGGAAAACATTAAGCCAACACAGTTTAGATCAGATATCGCTGTTACATTCATATTTGCCTATTTTGCATGCCAAGTGTTTTGATTGCCCTGGTCTTTGTACACAGCATTTGTAATCGCCTTTAGTCAGTTAAGCACATACATATAAGGAGGAATGGCAGATATTTCAGCCTTTTGTGTTGTGTTTTATTGCTTGGTGTGCAGCACTTGACTCTCAGTGTGTCTCTTCATGATTTATCCCAGAGGAGCTTGTTACTAATTCCACCTGGGTAGCAGCTGTTACCACTGGAGATTAATTTATGTAACCAACAAGATGTAAACAAACCCTGCTGAAAAATCCAGCCTAAACCAGCCTAGGCTGGTTGGCTGGTTTTAGCTGGTCGACCAGGCTGGTTTTAGAGGGGTTTTGGCCACTTCCAGACTGGTTTCCAGCCATTTCCAGCCTGGTCTTAGCTGGTCAGGCTGGGAGATGACCAGCTAAAACCAGCTTGACCAGCCTAGCCAAGCTGGGAGTCCAGCCAAAACCAGCTATATCCAGCTTAAACCAGGCTGGTCAAGCTGGTTTTAGCTGGATTTGGCTGTCATTTTCCAGCCTGACCAGCTAAGACCAGGCTGGAAATGGCTGGAAACCAGCCTGGAAATGGCCAAAACCTCTCTAAAACCAGGCTGGTTGACCAGCTAAAACCAGCCAACCAGCCTAGGCTGGTTTAAGCTGGATTTTTCAGCAGGGAACTTAGGGTTGGCATTGTGAAGTCTGAAGCAGTCTGATGAGCCCGAATCCAAGCAATATGGAAACAGTGCTTGAAGTTTCATACACACTTCAATTGTTTCGCCATCAATATTCTGCATTCACATTGCACCAGTGTCTTTCTCAAAGTTCTTGATGCAGTGCATGCAAGTCACTCTCATAAAGGAAGTGCAGAGAGTGAAAGTGAATGCTAAAGACCTAAGTAAAACCTCACTTGTTATTTCCCGTAGTAAAATGTTTCAATGGCTGTGACTTGACACATTTTTCTCAACCTCATCTAGTATCTGTTAAATCTGACAGAAAAGGCCTACATGTCTGGGCTCATGCGTACTCTATATCTGCACTCCTCCTTTCTCTGTCCGCATTTGCTGTTGTTTCCTAAGAACTGGTTCATCTTGTTCAGCCCTCGCTCTGGAGATGAATACATACAACTATAAAAGTGCAGAATCATCATTATACATCCATTTTAAAGGCTATATTGTAAATATACAGTAAACCACCATCTCTAAATGTGCACAACTCAATGTATTGTGTTCAAACACAGCAGTGGAAAATAAAGATGTTGATCTGAATAGGCCTTTTTAGAAAACAGGAAGTAGACCTGGAGCCTGTACCATGGAATAGCATGGCTAGCCACTTAAGTTTAAGTTTAGTTTGCACCAATCTTGGGTTTGTGACAAGAAGACAACTCAACTTTTTGAGTTGAATTTTAATTAATTGAATAAAACTGTACAAAAGCACGACATCTTAATTGGGTGCTCAGCCAAAACCGCAAAAAGTGCAAATTAAATATAAATCAAAGGCGGCAACACCAAGGCTCCAAAAATACAAATTTATTAAATTAAAAATGCTGACACAGAGAGTGAAACGTTTCGAGCCGCCGGCTCTTCATCAGACAATGTTTATCACAATCAGGTGCTTCTTTTTATACACTTCCGGATCACATGATCTCATCTCGCATATATGCCAACATATACATACATGCACTGTGTATGTATACATACATTGAATTTTAATCAACCCAGGCTCATTCTGAAAACGTAGTCCCGTGGACGTTTCTGGAGACCCCGAAGTACGTCCTGGGAGGTACGTATTTTTGCAGTTTTTGTTTTCGCGAATGCACGAGAGGCCGCTGTGTGGGCTTTTTCGCATCTCAAATGTCTCTCGCGAATGCCGTTTGCGCCCGCGCTGTTCTCGTGTAAACCCACCAGAGGCCGCTGTCGAACGACCGTCTGTCCGACTGGCTGAATGATTGACTGGGCGACCGACCAATCGGCTGACCCACCCTCCTCCTTCCCTGATTCCAATCTATTTTACCGATTGACCTGCCCAACCAACAATTTACAATTGCCGTCCAGAAAACGAAAAGCTCTCGTCGGATTTTTACCACATTTTAGATTTTACCACATTTTCACCCTGTTATGAACTCATTCACTTTATTTTTTGGCTTCTGTTTTTGTCTTACCTGATTTCTTGAATGGTCATCATCGTCGTGGTCAGCTTCTCACTGCGTCTCAAGATCTGTCACGACGAGCTAACTGGACAAAC